GAAACTAAAGGTTACCTTGCTTTTATGTCTAATCTCTCTTTGAGTTTCCTTATCCTTCTGTGTTTTCATCAGACCCTTAGGCTCCTTACTAATATGCTCACCTATCTTATGCTAAGAGGTGCTCATATTTGTTCAAAACAGAAAAAAAACATGAAACCATTTGAAGTATCTATCAAAGGAGAATGGATGAATAATTACCCAATGGAACATATAACAATAAGAAAATAACATTAAGCGTAACAATCAAAAAAAATAATTTTCAGCGACACACAATGATATTAGCAATATAATAAGTGAAAAGTTCCAAAAGATTATATATGGTATGAACCTCTTTTTATGAATTAAAAAAAACCACAAAAATAAACAACTACATAAGTGAATTATTTTTAACCACTCACAGATCATTTCCTTAACAAATGGGAGATAAATACGCCTCATACATGGCTGCACTTAGAAGTAAACAACAATAATAATTATTATTATATGTATAATAGAATGCTTAGAGTATGTTAAAAAATAGTACCTTCAAGAATTATTTATGTAATCTTTGATAAAAACTTTGTCCTGGTTAAAGGCACTTTATGACTCAGAGATGAAAGAACAGAAATGGGTACTTTCTTTAAGGAGAAGTAGGCCTTCCCTCAGTCTTTCCTCGGTGCACACAAAATAGTCACTTAGTAGTGTATCTTTCCAATCACAGTCAGTAGAAATGTTTGAAAATGAGACTTTGAGAACACAGGTAATGTAAAACTTAAGAGGAAAGAGAGTTTATTTAATTTTTAATTTTTATTATATATATTTTTTATTGATTTCAGAGAGGAAGGGAGAGGAAGAGATAGATAGAAACATCACTGATGAGAGAGAATCATTGACTAGCTGCCTCCTGAACACCCCACACTGGAGACTGAGCCCGCAACGCAGGCATGTGCCCTTGGCCAGAATCGAACCCAACATAGGACCCTTCAATCCGCAGGCCGACGCTCTATCCACTGAGCCAAATCGGCTAGGGCAAGAGGAAAAGCATTTTAAAAATCCACATGTCCCAACATCTACAGGGAACTCATACAAGTTAATAAAAGGGAGATAAACAACCCAATTAAAAAAATGGGCAACGGACCTAAATAGATACTTTTCGAAAAAAGACATAAGGAAGCTCAAGAGACATGAAAACATACTCAAAATCACTAATCATCCGAGAGACGCAAATCAAAACGACAATGCTGTACCATCTCACACTTGTCAGAATAACTATCATCATTAAGTCAACAAAATGACAAATGCTGGCAAGAATGCAGAGAAAAAGGAACCCTCATGCACTGCTGGTGGGAATGCAGACTGGTGCAGCCACTGTGGAGAACAGTATGGAGCTTCCTCAAAAAAACTAAAAATGGAACTTCCATTTGACCTAGTGATCCCGCATCTAGGAATATATCCTAAGAAACTAGAAACACTAATCAAAAAGGATATATGCACCTCTATGTTCATAGTGGTACAATTTACCATAACTAAGATTTGGAAACAGCCTAAGTGCCCATCAGCAGATAAGTGGATTAAAAAACTACAGTACATCTATACAATGAAATACTACGCTGTGGTAAAAAAGAAGGAATTCTTATCATTTGCAACAGCATGGATGGAATTGGAGAGCATTAAGTTAAGTGAAACAAGCCAGTCAGAGAAAGATAAATATCACATGATCTCACTCTTTAAAAAAAAAAAAAATATTTTATTGATTTTTTACAGAGAGGAAGGGAAAGAGATAGAGAGCTAGAAACATCGATGAGAGAGAAACATCGACCAGCTGCCTCTTGCACACTCCCTACCGGGGATGTGCCCGCAACCAATGTACATGCCCTTGACCGGAATCGAACCTGGGACCTTTCAGTCCGCAGACCGACGCTCTACCGCTGAGCCAAACCGATTTCAGCTGATCTCACTCTTTATGGGATATAATGAACAAAATAAACTGAAGAACAAAATCCAGAGATAGAGAAGCATTGATCAGACCATCAAACCTCAGAGGGAAGGTTGGGGAGGGGGGTGGTAAGGGAAAGAGATCAATCAAAGGACTTGTATGCAGTGCATGCATATAAGCCTAACCAATGGGCACAGACACCAGAGGGGTGAGGGCATGAGTGGGAGGAGGTGGGGGACATTGGTACGATAAGGACACATATGTAATACCTTAATCAATAAAGAAAAAAAAATCCACATGCCCAACCAAATAACTTATATGCATAACCCATGGACACAGACAATAGACAATAGTGTGGTGAAGGCCTGAGGGGAGGCAAGTACAGGATGGAGGGGGTCAATGGAGAAAAAAAGGGGGGCATCTGTAATACTTTCAACAATAAAGATAAATAAAAAAAATAAAAAACCTGCCTTGAAATGTCAAATCACTGACATGAGTTTATTTCAACTAAACTATATAATATTTTGATATAGAACATTTCACCATTTTGACTAGAAGTTGGAAAGGGTATCAGAGCCTCCTAAAGTGGAAAAAGAAATTCTACTAAAAAAAAAAAAAATGCTGCTCAATTCATGTTGCTTGAAAGAACAGTGGACACGGAATTAAACAACTGGCAGAGTTCACATTCAAATCTGGATTTGTTTTGTCCAAAGCCTGTGTGTTCTTTTCATCTTCTACTCCACAGCTCTCCTTACTCTTGAGATTCATTTTTCATTCTTGCTTGCCTTAGTATCTCATAATTTTATTGTAAATTTGAACTGTTGCTGACTTTTTGTCTTTTGACTTTTTCTCTACCATGGCAATTCATCACTTTCTTAATTATGGGTACACAGTTTTAAAATATCCTTAAAAAGGCTATATTCCAAACTTTCCTAGTATAGTTTGATGATTTGTTATACCATTAGTTTTAACAGTGTGAAGACGGAAAACTCATAATCAAAGGAGAATGGTTCTACAGCAAGCTACGGGCGGTATTTTGAGTTCAACTCAACAATGGGTCTAGGGAATCACTTTGACTTGTCTTCCTTCCCTTTTCTGAAATATATAACCAAGCTACTTATTATTTTTTTAACCTCACCCGATATGTGTTTTCCTTGATTTTTAATTTTATTTTTTCCCGTTAATCCTCACTGGCGGATACTTTTCCAATGGGGACTGAGCCCACAAGCCAGGCATGTGCCCTGCTTGGGAACTGAACCATGACCTCCTTGGTTCATAGGTTGATGCTCAATCACTGAGTCACGATTGACCGGGCAAGATTTTTTTTAAAGTTACTAACTGCAATATGATGATCAGATTAGAAGGGAATGAAACTGGATGTGAGTAGATGAGATAGGGAGCTAACTAATCTAATTTTTTAGAAACTCCAAAGGCTGGGGAAACAAAAGGTGGTAGTGTTGAGGATGTAAAAGTAGCCAAGAAACTTCCTTCTATACATGTTCAGTATGGGAAAAGGAGAAAGGAAGAATGGAGGGTGCTGTGAGCACAGACACTCCTACAATGTGGGTTTATGTTGTAGTTAGTTAGGTATGTGTCCTTCAGAATTTTCTCAAGGTAGAACACTACTCTCTATGAACAGAGAAAATGCCTTCATAGTATTTAAAACTAAGGAACAAAGGTATTTCTTCTTTCTTTTCTTTTTAAAAAATATATTTTATTGATTTTTTACAGAGAGGAAAAGAGAGGGATAGAGAGTTAGAAACATCGATGAGAGAGAAACATCAATCAGCTGCCTCTTGCACACCTCCTACTGGGAATGTGCCCACAACCCATGTACATGCCCTTGACCGGAATCGAACCTGGGACCTTTCAGTCTGCTCTATCCACTGAGCCAAACCGGTTTCGGCTCCTTCTTTCTTTTTGAATGCGACATACTCTTAAACCACTTTATTTTTAAGGATTCAAGCAACAAAAAACTGGAGTAATTAAATTTTAATATACAAGCTACAATCCACATTTATAATCAGAACCAATGACTGGCTACACTGACTATATTCCCAAGAATATGTTTTTCCTCAATTTTATATTAAAAACTATATAGAAAATCTTAAAAAAACTTTTGATAAAACATACCACATACAGAAAAGAGAAAATATATCATGTATGGTTTAAAGAATAATAAAACTTAACACTCATGAACTCACCTCAAAGTGGCCATTTTTTTAAATAGAAGAAATTTTCCTAAATGTTTTGTTTCATAAATGGCTTTTAAGATAAAACTTTATGCTAAAACTACATAAAGGACACTTCACGGTAACACTTTCCCACCATGGGTCAGTAATGCTATTAAGTGAAAGAAAACCTCTCTCCCATAAACACTGAATAAAAATTCACATATGTAAAAAGTTTCATTTAATATCCAACGGTACTCACATTCCAGTTGACAGCTAATTTGGTTAACCAAACAAAATGAGTTTTTCTTTACTGTTTTAGCAACGTGAACTACCCAAATGTGTAACATTATCATTTAAAGCATATATTCAAACTAGTCTTATTTCTATACATAGGAAAATAAGCGCTTTGGATAGGAGCCTTTAAAAATGGCCCAATTTTTCTCTAGTGAAGCAATAGGTTCAGAACTGAAATATTTTGGTAATATTATGCCATCTTATCATGTCTTACACTACAAAAATATTAATATTTTATAGGTTTGTATTTAAATTAAATGCACCTGTGTATCTGGCTAAAAGACATGGCATTGTATTAAAGCATTATTAAACTGTAATGAAACATATGTCTTTACGTAAAGAGAATTTCTTATTTCTTTAGAGTGGCTACAGTCTCAATCTCCAAAACTTCTTTTAAATCAAGTGCATGACTTACTACATGTTTGGTTTAATCTGAGCCTCGTCCTTCCCTGCTGCAGTTCAAGAAAGTCTTCTCCAATTTAACTAATAATAGGGCAAAAGATATTTCCTCAAAAAGTGAAGAGCTATCAACAACAATTCTACCCCAATAAAGGCTCTTATACATTTCCTCTCATTTCAACAGTGATACTAATATTAGTCCTTAAAGAATTACTCACCCAATGAAAGCCACCATCTGTTCCACTATGTGTTTGCTGAACGTTATTATAACAAAGATTTTCTGTAAAGAAAACACCAATTTTAATGTTAAAATAGTTATTTAGTATTGATAAAATATTAAATATTTCTCTTATAAAAAAACACCAATATAAACTCACAATTTTGGTTAACAGTCTAAAAAAGGTGACGCGCTGCTCCTAAATGAAATTTTAAAAATTCTTTATAAAAAATACCATTTTCGACTTACTTTGTATTTTAAAGATGTTTTTTCCTAAACACAGTTCTAGTCTTATTAGGATACGTGACCATGTCTGAGGGAAAAATATGAGTCATGAAACCGAGGGCTGGGGAGACATTCCACATGTTTTATGTATCTTAGAATGCTGTATACAACTGAAGTCATGGGTTCCCACATGGCCCCCACCACTGAAATGAAAGCTAAATCTAATCCACAGCTTCTTGAAAAGACTGTCCATCCTTCATGGAAACTTTTTATCATGCAAGTTCCATTCTCAGATCCTGAAGGAGCTTGTCTGTTCAGGATCAGGGTACAAACAAAGGCATCAACAGATCAGTGAGGATCTGTACCAGACCTGGGTCATTTCAATCTGGTGTTATTGAGACAGTTCCCATTAGTTAAAAATGTTGATACCTTACTTCACAAGTAAAGATGCCTTTAGGCCTAATGTGTAATAAATATTTTCAATTCAATAAATGTTACAAAATGTACTTATTATGGATAATATAAGGCATTATTAAGAGATTTTAGGGAACAGAAAGATGATAATACTTTAAGCCCTAAAGACATTTTATAAATTTTTCTATACACAGTAGAAAGATGGTAAGTGCTATGTATAGGTATATGTATATCAAAAGATAAAACTATAAATGCCACTGGTGGTAAAAGCAATGTGATATCAAAGTTCAAAGAAAGGGCCCTAGCAGGTCTGGCTCAGTGGATAGAACGTCAGACTGTAGACCAGGGTTCAATTCTGGTAAAGGGTATGTGCTTGGGTTGCAGGCTCCTCTCTGTCCTGTGCCCTGGCGGGGGGTGTGCAGGAAGCAACCAATTAATGTGTTTCTCTCACATCGATGTTTCTCTCTCTTTCCCTCTCTTCCACTTTCTAAAAATTAATGGAAAAATATCTCCGGGTGAGGATTAAAAAAAAATTTTTTTCAGAGAAAATGCCTAGATAATTGCACAATTTAATTGCTTAAGAACAAATCACATAAGTTCAGTTAATTAACTTCAAGAAAGTGATATTAGTTTAGCTTTAAAGAAGTGATAACTGATTAAATGTGATTGATTCTAGATTCTCTCTCCAAATTCCTGATTAAAACAAACAACCCTTTAGTGCTTTGTTGTTTTTTGTTAAATAATATAACCTATGTAACCAAAAGGGACAGAAGACAAATAAAAACACTCATTAAAAAAAAATCTAGCCCAGCCTGCGAGGCTCAGAGGGTGATATCCACCTGTGAACCAGGGGGTCGTGGTTTGATTCCGGGTCTGGGCACAGGCCCAGGTTGCAGGCTGGATCCCCAGCGTGGGGCATGCAGGAGGCAGCTGATTAGTGATTCTCTCTCATCATTGATGTTTCTCTCTTTTTCTTTCTCTCCCCCTTCCTCTCTGAAATAAATAAAAATGTATTTAAAAAATCTATTCATTATTAAATCTCAGGAAAGTGCCTAATTTAGATGAAAGCTTATTATTTTAGAAATAAAGCAATTATATTTTAATTAATGTCCTAGTATTGGCAGCTGCACAGTGTAAGGATATGTGTAAGGAAATGAGAATAATAAAAAGTTCTTAATTCTTTTTAGTGTTTGTTTATGCATCTGTTAAATGGAAAAAGATACCTATCTTATGGAAAAAGCAAGCACCCAGAGAGGTCAGTCAGGTACAAGATGGATGATGATTTTATAAACAATGTTATACAAACGGCGTATGAAGATTATGAAACTAATAAGACTATGATAGATCATTTTGGAGAAAAGCCTTAATATATGGGGGTCCTTCTAGTATCCATACTAAAAGCCAGTTACTTGGAACTATAAATATTTTATTAAGAAACAGCTAATGGTCTTATCTCTCAGTGATCTCACCAACATAAGCTTTCTCTACTATCATTTCCTAACATTCAGAATAAGCCAATGCCTAGATAATTGCACAATTTAATTGCTTAAGAACAAATCATAACTTAAAAAAAAAAAAAAAAAAAAGGAACAGCTTAAAAATTCCACTGTTCCGGGCAAGAAATAAATGTGTCTGAGTGGGGGATTCTACCAAGTAAACAAAAGGCACAGATCACTAACCAATCCTCTCGACCATGTGCAAAGGAGAAACACGGGGAAGGGGAGAGTAGGAAGAAAAAAAGACAGGATTATAGGAACTACTGGTGTCAGAATGTACAAAAAAGAACCTGTCTGTAAAAGAAGGGTCCTTCGATGGTAAGAACTGTAGATAGATTCATTTATTAAGTATTTATTAAGTACCTACTACATGCCAGATGCTATTTAGGCAGAATACCTCACTGAGCCAAGAGACAAAAATCTCTACCTTCAAGGAGCCTGGGTTCCAGAATAAGTGTGTGCAGTGGTGGGTGGGGAGGTAGAGAGGGAATAAACAATACACATACTAAGTAAATTGTACGGTACATGAAGTATTATATGTGAGCATGCTGACTTCTCAACTTCTTCATTATTTGTTTCTAAGGCTCCTTCTACAGCCAGAGGTCTTCAACTTGTCCAGTGGAAGGGGAAATCCTGATTTAACACTATTAGGTGGGCTGATGTGAAATTTATAGGGGAGGTTTAACAAGATGACAAAATGTCAATAAAAATAACAATGTTTATCAAGGAAAGTTGTCTAGTTTAAGCTGAGAGAAAAGAGAATCAGAAGAGGAGATAGGTTTATTATTAGATTACAGAAGAACCTGTGTTTCAGAAATATTTATAATGTTTATATTACTTGTTAGTATTCTTACCGAAAAAATGAGAAATGTCTGTTGCCTTGAGCTGTATCTGGATGTACACTCAGTGACATGCCTTTACAAAGTACATCTCTTTGATTCAATAGAACATAGCAAACACACCCCATGTTCTCAGTTTAGTGAAGAACTCAGATTCTTTCCTTTCCGAAACATGAAAGGATTTTAACTTTCTTTTTTCCCCTTCCACTCAGAAACAGTGAATAAGCGTTAACTTTATAGAATTTGGTTTAATTCCTGGGCCTTACGCAAGTATTTTATCTTCTCTAAAACTCAGTTCTCTCATCAATGAAATATGGATAATAACTACCTCACAGGATTGTTCTGAGATAATCAATGCCAACTGACTGGTATAGATCCTAATAAATCCCAGGCATCAAACAATTGTTTCCTTAATCACATAAATAATTTATAGTTAAGAAGACAATGCAAAAGACTGGAAAAAAAACACTGAACTTGAAGCCAAAAGACTAGGGTTCAAATTCCAGCTGTTTACTCACTCTCTTAGGTACCTATTACAGGTACCTATTACTTATTAACCTCTGTAAGTTTGATAATTATAAAACGGGAGTAATAATTTCTTCCTCCCAGTATTAGAATAATTAAATCAGATGACATACACTAAGTGCTTTAAAGTGTGAAACACTACATAAAAAATAAGCATTATCATAACTTGAAAAAAACCCACAAAAAACCCACAAAGAAAATGTTCTAAAAATAAACTATTTGGACTATTCTGTAATGACAGCTCTGATTAGCTGCATATCCTACCACTATAGGGTATGGTCAGCATAATACATTTTACTATAATTTTTAGATTATTACTTAAAGTAGTATGTGTAAGTTTATAGATCCCTAGAGGAACTGTTGTTATAAAGGGAATTAAATCTGTTGTTACTTTCAAAGGACTCCCTACAGCTAAATGCTAGCTTCTTTCTTTCCCCAGAAAGAACTAAAAAGATTACAAAAAAATATTATCTTCATGTACACTGAGAAATCATTTAAAATTCACCACAATATTTTATTACTTGAAAAATCCTGTTATGATATTTTAAATTTTTACTAAAGACACTAGCATTCCAATATTACAGAACCCATACTCATTGAATGATATACTTAATATAAGTGGGGAGAAATATTCCTTGAAGGAAGAAAAAACATATCCTTGAAATTCTGAGCAATTATGGCAGGACAAGTTCAATAACTCATCTCCAATGCCAACTTCTAATATCAGAGACTGGGCAGTAGAAGCAGCTGAAATTTCCCTGTTCCATCCTCTTCTCCTTAGAACTAGAGGTGGGGAGTGTTAAGAAGAAGCATGGGGGGTGGACGTGCTTTTAATTATTAAGGAATCATGCCAGAGCACGGACATTACTCACTGTTCTTGCCTTTCCTTTGGTGAATGCCTCTTTGTTGCAAACCTCATTGATTAAGGAATTCTTTCCAGGTTAATTTTAGTTTATTCTGGTGAGATTTGCCCTTAGAAGGAAACGGTTCATATCACAGTCCCAGAAGCAGATGTCCATGTCCTCTCATTTATGTTTTTTTTAGTCTCTTTTCGCTCCTTTATTCATAGAGCATACACTACACGTTTTGTTAAAAAGTCTTTGAAGGCTTGATTTTCACTTCTCTAACCACAACCCACATCTCTGCCTCTTCCGAGACCCCTTTCTTCCCCATTCTCCTCAACACTGACATGTACCCACTTTTCTGTAAAGAACATGGTATCTTGAGAGGAAGTGTTACATACAGTGTGTGAAAGAAAAGTAGAATTAGTGAAAGGCAATATTATCTCAGCTCATGGCCAATAAAGAAACATTTTTTGGACCATATATATGAAAATGATAAGCATTTTCCTACATGGGAACACTGTTTTTGTTTGGTAAGTCTTGCATAAATAGTTTCACAAGGCAAAAGTGAAATAAACAAAGAAACGAAGGAAGAAAGGTAGAAGGAAAGAAGGAAAAGAAACAAGGAGAAAGATAATAAAGGGATACAACTTTCCTACAAGGACAGGGAAAACCTGCACAAAATTCACTAACCTCTAAATCACATGGCTGAACAAGCTATCAACCAAAATCTGAATAATTCACCTTGGAATGAGCAAGAGAAATATGCCTTTTAATGGTCTCATCTTCATTAGGTAGGGAACAAGAAGATACAATTACCTGAATATGCATCTTAATGATTGCTTTTCCAATCAAGGTTGCACCAAAGAAAGTCCAAAAAGGTACAAGAAAGTGTCCACATGTTATTCCAGCCAGATCAAACAGAGGATTTGGAATCTGTAAATAAATAAAAGTAAAATGGAACTCCAACATATAATCCAAAGAACAGCTTCATTTTACCACCTGTAAGGCAATCCTTACACTGCAAAGAGAGGTATGTCTCTTGCTCAGCACTAGACTGTTCAGGTGAGCCAAGTATTCTATGTGTCCATAACTGGGTCTCACATTCATCTCAGGCTGTCGTTCAATCTGCTCAAAGCAAATCAGCTATTCTTCTGCTTGTATTACTTATGGCTAATATCACATAAATACATATATTTTTCTATCTCATTAGAATTATCGATAGATAAATTCCCCAGGAATTTAATACCATTCAGTAGATTGGCTGGCTATTTGGTAGCTGTTTTCTAAGGTGAGATATAAATGAGAAAAAAGCCTTAGATCATTTTCGTAGTTGCTAGGTTTGAAAATCTTAAGCCTGAAATAAGAGTATAATCTAGAAAGTGCTCACATCTATATATACCAAACATTGTTGTAAATTCACAAATATATTTTTAGGTGGATGTGTTCTTATTTCTCAACATAAAACATTCATTATTTATATTTTATTTTATGAGAGCCCAAGGCCATGGATTGTGTGATCTATTTTAGAAAGTCAAGTGGAAATACAAGAGCACGGATTCAGATATTTTGAATATTCAGTCCCAGACAAAGAAGTGATTCACAACAAATACCTTTTCTAAACATTCCCACATTTCAAGAATGCTAAAAGACTCTTTCATATAAAAATGCAAAGAGACCACAAGCTATTTTGAGTGCTTCATGCATTTTTCTCTCAGGGAAGTACTCTGTCCTTGTGGCTGTTGGCCAAACCATTTATAAATCAATTAATTTATATCATTTCGTTTTTGAACTTTCAAAGAAAAGTCTAGTTATATTTGTTACATATGTCCTTTTAAAAACAGTGTCATGAGTAAATTAGAATTCAAGTATTTTTTTTGTTAGTAACACTTGGATTCAATGACACAGCTGTTTTTAAATTAAAAGCCTTTATGCAATTTCATCTGACTTATTGTACAACCCATGTAATAACAATATCATTTCACAGTCTCACATCTGTCATTTCTTAAAAATTTTCATGTGACCCTCACAACTCTGTGAATTACAATTTTAACACTTTTCCTTTTTTATCAGGCTCCACCTCACATATGAGCCTGAGGATCCACATATATAATCTTAAACCCTCACATGAGCTTTTGCAATGAATGTTGTATTGCCCCATTTTGAAAATTAAAACCTAGGGTTCAAAGAGAGTAACCTGATTGAGGCTACATAGCTAGGAAAAGCCAAAACTGGTTTAGGAAACCTAAGTAAGCCTGACTCTAAAGCCAATTCTTTCCACAATATCACAGTACAAAATACCTGTAAGCCTCTCAAATAGTTAAGGTCAATATTGTGATAAAGAGCTTCTACATTAAAAAAAAAAGTTCGATTATGAAAATTTCTAGTATTGCCAAGGTCAAAGATAGTAATTTAGGCACAGATATGCTTTAAAATAGTCCTAGAATGTTAATAACAGATTAGAAATTTTGGCACCAAATTATCCACTTTTTGTCCATTTGCTTTGCTAAGGCTGGAAAGGGGGTTCTCAAAGATCTATTATTGTACTAATACATAATGGATAAAATAGCTGGGGTCAACAGAAAATAATTTTGTGAATTTTACTTTTAATGGCAGCTTTTATCATTCTCTACCAGGTGCACCTAGTTATTCTGGTCAAACCCACCACTGAACTACCAATTGTGTACAGGAGACCAAAGAAAACTTGAATTAAAATGCTCCATTTCAAATGTAGTCATTTCTATTATACAGAAAAGGACCAGGAAAAAACAACCATCAAAGAACGTCAGTTTTACAAATCTATAATTTGAGACATTAACCAAAACAAAAATTTTTTAATTTACAGTTATAATCACTATTATTTTGTATTAATCAGGTAAACATAGTGCAGACATTAAATGTTTGACATAAAGAGCATCTTAGTTCACTGTAACCCTTAACTTTGCCACACACGTTCCAATTACCTAACTAGGTGTTAGCGTCACTTAAGGCAGGCTTTATACACATTCTCTTTACAGTTAATGCTTGAAATTTTGGGAAAAGATGACTTATCTATAATTCTGAAAAGAATGAAGTCATTGTTAATTGGTTAAATGCACTTCATTATAAATTCTCTCTGAGAAGGATGGATTTTCTCTCTTTTGTTCTTACTGAATCAAGCCATTTAGGTCTGAAGTCAACATGGCATGATGAAATGCTTAAAAGTCAATAAACAAAATATGAACATATTACCAGAAAACAGCTCATTTGATGAGTAAGATGAATGATTAATAAAATTACATACCCATTAAAAGTGATAGCATTATTGTTCATTTAGGCATGTATCTTTTAAAAACAAACTGGATCAAAATATAAATCTAGCATTTATTGGAATTCCTCACTTTTAATACAATTTACTTACTGAAGCACAGGCCAAAATTCCAAAAAATCCAACCTTCTGTACTAGGTTTTGTACTGCCAGCTTAGCCCGGGAGGCAAAGTCCTATATAAAAGAAGGATATCAAAACATTAATGAAAAGTACAAGGAATAAGGGAAAATGACTGTTTACAGAGTTTATAATATTAAATGCCTCATGACCTGAAAGAATTGATTCATTTAATAAGATAAATTATTTTAAAAATTACAGGTGGCACAGGAAAACATGCAAATAAAATCTTTTTTCTTTCTTCTTCTTTTTTTTTAAATATATATATTTTATTGATTTCTTACAGAGAGGAAGGGAGAGAGATAGAGAGCTAGAAACGTCGATGAGAGAGAAACATCGACCAGCTGCCTCTTGCACACCCCCTACCGGGGATGTGCCCGCAACTGATGTACATGCCCTTGACCGGAATCGAACCTGGGACCCTTCAGTCCGCAGACCGATGCTCTACCACTGAGCCAAACCGACCTCGGCTCTTTTTTTTTTTTTTTTTTAATATATCTTATTGAGTTTTTACAGAGAGGAAGAGAGAGGGATAGAAATCTAGAAACATTGATGGGAGAGAAGCATCTATCAGCTGCCTCCTGCACACCCCCCAATGGGGATGTGCACGCAACCAAAGCACATGCCCTTGACCAGAATCGAACCCGGGACCTTTCAGTCCGCAGGCCAACGCTCTATCCACTGAGCCAAACCGGCTTCGGCAACAGAATCTTTTTTAAAATATATATATATTTTATTGATTTTGTACAGAGAGGAAGGGAGAGAGATAGTTAGAAACATCGATGAGAAAGAGAGTCATCAATCAGCTGCCTCCTGCACACCCCCTACTGGGGATGTGCCCGCAATCAAGGTACATGCCCTTGACCGGAATCGAACCCGGGACCCTTCAGTCCCCAAGCCGAGGCTCCATCCATTGGGCCAAACCGGTCTTGGTGGCAATAGAATCTTTTTTAAAAATATATATTTTATTGATTTTTTTTTACAGAGAGGAAGGGAGAGGGATAGAGAGCTAGAAACATGGATGAGAGAGAAACATCGATTCAGCTGCCTCCTGCACACCGCCCACTGGGGATGTACCCGCAACAAAGGCACATGCTCCTGAGACCTTTCAGTCCGCAGGCAGACGCTCTATCCACTAAGCCAAACCGGTTTCGGCCGTAAATGTCTTTTTAAATAGTGTTCACATCATAGACTATCTTTCTCTTTGGTTCAATAGTCTTACACGCAACAATCTTACAGAAAGGTCAGAATATAAAAAATAGAAGGTTCCGCTGAAACCAGTTTGGCTCAGTGGTAGAGCGTCGGTCTGCGGACTGAAAGGTCCCAGGTTTGATTCCGGTCAAGGGCATGTACCTTGGTTGCGGGCACATCCCCGGTGGGGGGTGTGCAAGAAGCAGCTAGTCAATGTTTCTCTCTCATCGACGTTTCTAGCTCTTTATCTCTCTCCCTTCCTCTCTGTAAAAAAATCAATAAAATCTATTAAAAAAAATTTTTTTTAAACAGAAGGTTCCTTCATATAGAATAGAAACAGGATTTAAAGCACTTATCTAATTCACAACGTAAGTAGTGTATTTCTACTTAAACACCCCCCCAAAAAAACCCTTTAACAAATATATGTAGAATAACCCTAGCAAATTACAACATTAAATATTAAAAATTTAAAAATAATACCTTCCTACTACTTACTTACTGAGGATGTGAGAAAGTCAAATGAATTAAATCAATAATGTATAAGTATTTTAAAGATATTTAATATAACCACTTTCAAGTATATTGGCTCTCAAAGTTAATTATTAACTAAATTCTACAATGCAACTTTTATAATTTTACAATTTATTTCCAAAGAGAGAATTTTCCTTTTGGGAATTAGCCTTATTTTTTCAGTAAGTCATTTTATTAGATTTAATATTTTTAAACAACTGAATAACTACAGTAAAGGGCACTTTTCATTTTCATTCAGATTTATTTTTTCTCCTTAAATAAACAACTATTGCATTATGAGTGAAATAGTAATTTAAAAACTGTTAAAAATATAATAAAATCAGCTTTCCCAAATAATATATTTTTAAACAAATTATACTTCTTTTTCTTTTGCATAATTTGTACAATCCAAATTACTAAATTTGTCATTTATAAGAAGTACTAAACAAAAACTAGAAAGGATATAATGAAAAGAAATGTTTTGAGTTTTGAAAATATCAAACAAACCTATTAGATTACAAACGAGTCATAAAACTGTCATTAATATAGCCTACAAGTTAAAATATAAATTCAGGAAAATGCCTTCTTTTACAGCCCTTAATATCTTCACAACAAATCCACTCTAATAAGAGTCAAGATGGTGCTCAATTGCAGAGAAAAAGTAAAAAAAAAGAAAAGAAAAAAAAGAATGGGGGGGGAGGTCAGTGAGGGGAACAAGAAAAAAAAAATATACAAAATTTATTTTAAAGACAACATATTTATAAATATATTTTCCAAGTCAGGCATATGTGGGGACATTTTTCTATCATAGAATTTATATACTCTTCAATATGTAAAATTATAGAAAATTAGATTTTTGCAAAAAATGGTATAAACAAGGCCAACAGTATTTACAATAGAAGGTTTGGTGTCCTGTTTTCTTTAAAAAGTTTTTTTTCTGATTAAAGTTGACATACACTATTATAGGTATCTCTTTTCTTTTTATCTTAATTTCAAGGCCTCAGAATCTTATTTTTTATTTAAACCAGGTGACTATGTTAAACTGATGGTGTTTTCTACTAGAGGTACACACACATATACATTTAAATTTAAAAATAGTATAATTATACCAATTGGTTTATATAAAAATGATTAAACATTATACAGATCACTTAATATACAAAATAATAAAAATATTTAAGCCTACAGAAGTTCTAGGAATGATGTTTTTAAAAACTTCCCGAAAGAAAGGAGACATTTTATCCCTCTGAGGCAGAATCTCTGTACTCAACAGAAATCAGGCAAGAACAAAGGAAAACAGACTCCTCGTTCTTTCAGACGCCTGGGTGCCCATCATCGATTACTCTCAACAGGGTTCAAGAAGTTTGGTTTGAGGGAAGAGTTACTCTATCCAAAGGAGTCACTCCCTTAACCATTTTCTTTTTGAAAATTAATTTTTAGCTGGCATATCTTACAAGGAGAACAAATTAAGTGCCTTTTAATAGGGAGCTTTTACTTTTTAAAAAGTCTGAAAGTCATGTACTGAAAATGGATTTCACAAATCTCATTATGTGCTTAACCACACGCACAGAGTGACCATGCTACTTTCAGTTCCTGTAATTTATTTTCCAGATCTTTCACAATATTCTCAGAATTAAAATTATACTTTCAACCACCCATACATATTTATTTAAATTAATGTTTTCCCTTGCCTGTGTAATTCAAGTAAACTCAGGGGATCATTGTATTAGTATTTATAACAAATCTAAAATATTTTACAATAGTAAGAGAACTCATGTTTAGATTTCATAGACACAGCATATTTTGTTTTTATTTTAAACTTATTTAAAGCCATATATTTAAAATGGTATTGCTCTAGAGGTTTATTAATATATTTTGAAGGAAAATATTCTCTTACTGTTGAAAATTTCATTCTTTTACTGTCTAAAATGTTCTACATGTAGTTGCACTTTCCTGTTTGTTGCACTGTAGTTTAAAACTTCTTTATTTTTTAAAAATAACTTGGTACTTTTTCATTATTTGTGTAATTTGACAGATCTTTCTTAACATTGATTTTAAAGTAATATTATCTAGGCATTACAATATTTACCGTATTTTTCGGACCATAAGACGCACTTCCCCCCCCCCAGAAGTGGGGGGGGAAAAGTCCCTGCGTCTTATGGTCCAAATATAGCCTACACATATACTTTTAAAAAAAAGTTTTTTTACTTGCCCGGCTCTGTGTGGTCTCTGTGTGCTTGCCCGGCTCTAAAATGGTTCTAAATGCTGCTGTTTACTTTACAGGGTTGATTACATGTGTTTATGACTGTGATGTTGGGTTTTAATGCACATAAAATATTTTAGGACACTATTTGTTTCAGAATCTTTTTTTCTTCATTTCCCTTCTCTAAAAACTGGTGCGTCTTATGGTCCGGAGCGTCTTATGGTCCGAAAAATATGGTATATATCCCCCAAATAGAAAGAACTGTGCTGTGGGTATATGATTTGACAATAAACCCAAATACTAGTAAACACACACACATCACAAACCATCAAAAAATTCCTCTTCTACTAAAGTTTAAAAGAATCATTTCAAACCAAATTTGCTATTCTTTTTAGGCCATCAAATAAGATATATAAGGCAAGGAAAGGTATGCAACAATAATAAACAATAATATCTTAAATAAAAAGTTTAACAAATTAGTATGTCAGGTATTCAATATTCAACTAAAATGTAAAAGAAAATTAGTATTTCATTTTAATGATTTTAAAGTATTTATGGGAACAATGTATAAGTTTAATTTGATTACTTCCTCAATTTTTTTTTTTTTTTTTTTAAATATATTTTATTGATTTTGCACAGAGAGGAAAGGAGAGAGATAGAGAGTTAGAAAGATCGATGAGAGAGAGTCATCGATCAGCCGCCTCTTGCACACCCCCTACTGGGGATATGCCCGCAACCAAGGTACATGCCCTTGACCGGAATTGAACCCGGGACCCTTCAGTCCCCAAGCCGATGCTCTATCCATTGAGCCAAACCGGTCTCGGCTACTTCCTCAATTGTTATTCTTCATTTTTTAAAAATCTGTACAACTAAAACCAAATTCCTTTAAATAGTTTCATTTCTCTGGATTCACATTTCACAATATTTACCTATTTCACAACTTACGTGCTTGAGAGGCAAGTTTCATTCTCTCGCTCTACCTAAATAAATAGCATGCATTTACAATTCACATATCATTTTCCATTTTTTAAAAATAAACAATACAAATAAATAAAATTATCCTTCCTTCTCCCACTGATATTTATGCTTCTGAAAGGAGGAATGAGAGACACTAGGAATATTTCCCATTGACTACAAGAGACAGATGAAGAA